AGTCCCTTTAACGGACCTCCTCCACCGACGCCCGCCTGCTCCATCGTGAAACTGGACCGAATGAACCCGGGTCATCGGGACCGTGTGTTTGGGTTCCACCTGCTTTACAGTGATCGTGGTGATGTGGCGCCCGCTCTGAACGGAGAGACTTCACCTAAAAGACATTTAGGTTTTTGTTATTTTGTTTTTCTTCTCGTCGTCGATGATTTTTTGATTTTAACAGTTCTCGCCTCAGTTTGGACTTCTGGGTTCGGTTTGATGGATGTTACTGGTTAGCATTTGGTTTCCCCACTGACTTTTATTTTGTTTTTAGTTGCTGAGCTTGCTTTGTTTTATTATTATTTTTAATTTTTTTTTGCTAAAGTCCAAATGAGTAATCAGGGATGGGTGGAGAGGAAAAGGGAGTTTACGGTAGTTTTAAACATGTAGCAGCTTGTTTTTGTTTTTATACCTGATGTTTCCTTCTGTTTTTATCTTTTCTTTCATTTCTCCCTTTTCCGGTACTTTTCAGCACCCAAAAAGCATCGAAAGCAGCACCTAATATTTGTTTACCATGAATATAGATATATAAATACATAGTTCTCTATGGATATTTGTAGTGTATGGCTAATTGCGATTGTGGCTGGTCCCATTTTGCAGCAGAACCATAAAAAACAGAGCAGGAATCATTTCTAGAGGGAACCTGACTCTGACATCCCGTCATCTAGTAATGAAACAAAAGACACATTTATATAAATAAATACATATAAATATGACACTTACTATGATTACATATCCACTATGATATTGTTCGTAGTACGTAGATATTGATTGGAACATGGTTTCTATATAAATATATATATATTTGCTGTCATGCACATATGTATATATGCATATGACTGTGTGTGTATATGCATTGTGTGTGTGTGATCACGCATTACACAGTGGCATACTTGAACATCGTTTGCACTTTGCAGAGGCCTCCGGTTCATCTCGGTTTAGAGGCAAAAGTTTTCTTTGTGTTTGTGGCCTTTTTCCCTCCAACATGTCTCCGGTTATTAAATAAAATCTAGATTTATTTATATTTTAGCAACACGTTGGATGTTTCCCGTCACCCATCAGTGCAGAAATCCCGATTTTTTGCACTTTTCCTGGAGCGGATGAACCATTTGATTTTTGCCTCTAAGCTGAATGGATCTTGTGCCTCTTCAAAACATAAAAGCCCCCCACCCCCACCCCCTGTATTTTATTTTTATTCTTGTTGTGCAGAGCATAACTC